ATCATTCCTCAAACTGGAGCAGTTCCTAAATGACCGCCTCGTCACGATCGATGCTATTGAAAACCGAAGCGCCTTGTTTGTGCAACAGGTTCCTCCGTCCACGGACTCCACTAGACGTATCCAATGTCACAATGCGCAAGCGCGGGTTTCCAGCAACCTTCGCTGCATGCATTGCGGGTCCAGCCACATCCTCCGGAGGTGCCCCGCATTTCTGTCCATGGACTCTTATTAGCGAAAGGAGTTAGCCATCCGGTTTAAGCTGTGTCTTAACTCCAAGTACCGTTCTTTACAAACAGATTCATGCACCGAAACTAGCTCTCGTAACACCCCAGCCAGTGCGTAAAGCAGAAGCTGCTTCCAGCTGTGGAATTGCCAAAGAACCCACTCATTGGCTCGCTCACTATTTGTCTACATTATCTCGGCAGCAACACAAAGGTGCCATCATTCCTCAAACTGGAGCAGTTCCTAAATGACCGCCTCGTCACGATCGATGCTATTGAAAACCGAAGCGCCACATCCTCCGGAGGTGCCCCGCATTTCTGTCCATGGACTCTTATTAGCGAAAGGAGTTGGCCTTCCGGTTTAAGCTGTGTCTTAACTGTTTGGGAACCTCACACACGCACTCACGGTGTACAAGTACGCGGAACTCAGTGGACCTTGGACCCGAGGGAAATAACGGCACCTACAGCGCCTATAAAAAGGACGGCGCCAAACGACGACAAGTCTACAAGGCTGAGGCTACAACGCTGAGATCCAACGGTGCTAGGTCGTGGTAAAGTCAAACTTAGGGAGTCCTTGCGCGGTGTCAGGCGATAAAGGTGGCTAGGCGATAAGGGAGAACTTTGTTCTACCTGCTAGGCGATACACCTTGCCGACAAAGTCCAGGCTGAACTCCGGAAGCCAGGCGATAAAGGTGGCTAGGCGATAAGGCGTAACTTCGGTTCACCTGCTAGGCGATACACCTTGCCCTTGCCGGTAGGGAACCTCGCATAACATCCAGGGTTTTGGTGGAGTCGTCCCGATCTCAGTCACCCGGAGCAGCAAGCCGAAGCAACGCAGTAGCAGGCCAGGAGCGACGCAGCGGTAAGCCAGAAGCGACGCAGCAGCACGCCAGGAGCAGCGCAGCAGCGAGCCAGGAGCAACGCAGCAGAAGACAGCGACAACGGGCAGCAGATTAATAGCAATAAAGCTATATTGTAGAGAAACAATAAACCAGCACCAACCTAATCATTTCTGGCGTTATCCTTTGGTCACGGGCGGTCACTCAATATAAATTTGGTGGAACGAACTCACAACCTCTCTGAGCTAGCCGCACGTTCACGTAGCGAGCAGAAATAAAGAATCAGGTCGTTACATCTGGCGCCCAAGAGTGATTGTCCTGACCAAGGAAACAAAAGTTCCGAGATGGGGAAGTCCTGGATTTATAATCTCAGGAAGGAGGACTTCGACGAGGTGAGTCAAGTTCTGGGAATAGAATTGGAGGGCTCAGTCGATTCGATGAGGAAGACTCTGGGAGACTTCGTCGACCAGACGGCAGAGGAGCCAGACATCGCCGATTTGGTAATGGGCCTGGAAAAGAAATTCCGGAAAATGCCCACGCCAAAATTCATAATCACAACCGCAAGTGCCGAGGGCCTGATAGCGAGCTTGGATGTGTCTAGCATCGCAAGCCACGCAAGCCGGCAGCGGGAAAATAGCCGGGAAAGAAAGGAGAGTTCCAGGACGCACACGCAGGACTACGCGAAGGTGGCCAAGCAGGTCCGAGAGTGGAATTTCCGCTACGACGGAAACGACAAGCCGCTGGAATTTTTGGAGCAAGTAGAGTGGTCAGTCGTGACTTACGGTCTCGACATAAACCAGATCCCACGAGCAATGCCGGAGCTGCTCCAAGGCAGAGCCTTGAAGTGGTTCATCGCCAACAATAGGCACTGGGAGACCTGGGGAGACTTCATCTACAGCTTCCAAAATTACATTCTGCCCCGAGGATACATGGCGAAGCTGGCGGACCAGGTCAGACAGAGGAAGCAAGCCTAAGGGGAGAGCTTCAAAGATTTTATGGTGGAGATATAAAATTGTTTTCCGATTTTGAAAAAACTAATAGCGAAATTCTGATAAAGTAAATATAGTAATTATTTATCTCAAAGGAATGTTTTGATAAACAGAAAAACAGCAAAATAATTATTTTTTTAAATTTTTAATTTTTTTTAATTTTTTTAGTTTTTTTTTTGGGAGCTATATGATATAGATGTCCGATTTTAATTTTAATACCTCCAAATCACAAAGAACAAAAAATTAAAAACAACAAAGTTATACTTTTAAAAATTTTTTTTCCGATTGTTCCTATGGGAGCTATATGATATAGTCGCCCGATCCGGCTCGTTCCGACTTATATACTATCTGCAATAGATTGACAACTCGTGGGAAAGTTTCAAGCAGATAACTTTAAGGCTGAAGGTATAGTCTGCGTAGAAACGGTCATACGGACAGACCGACGGACGGAGGGACTGACGGACAGGCAGACAGACAGTCGTAGCATGAACTACGATATTAAATTCACACAAAAATTAACAATATGGCGAACCTCTGAACTTTGTTTTTTTGAAAAACGCCTTCTTTTCAGCCACAAATCAAGTTGAAAAGTAAAGAAGATCTTCACCGATTTGATTTATCCTAGTTCATGCTATAGCTATATATGTATAGAATAACGTATTAAAATTTGAAACTGGTTGGATTAATAGTTTTTGAGTAACCTCATGCGCTCATCGTAAAAATACAGTTTCGAGAAAAACGCGTTTAAAGTTTTGAGAAGCTCTCGCCCTCGGCTGACGCTTCCACCATAAATCGGCTATGTCTTCAAAAGTTTTTGAAATTTTCACTTGAAATTTTAAGAAACATTCTTGAATAAAGTTTCAAGCTAAATAAAAAAAAATATATTTTATGAAACCGTGAATGGGGGGGTCCCCTTAAGAAAACATATGAGTGATCGTGATATATAAGAATTGTTAAAAGAAATCCGACAGCTCAAAAGCGCGGAAAATTTGCAAGTAAATCAAAACAGTTCAAACATGGCAATGACCAACGATCAATTATAAGTCATTATAGAGGGCGCAGAACAAAAATTTCAAACTCAAATTACGTTTAGAAGCGCTTAGGTGGTGTAAATATCGGCACACCGTAGAGACATATAAGGACTTAGTATTTAGTCGAATTTTAGAAATAAATCGTGACGGTCATAGCTTCCCTAACTTCATAGTCATTCGGGCAGTACCGCGAGTCTTAGACAAATCCTAATAAAGGAAATAATTACTTTATATATTATACAAGTCGAACACCTCGTCCTCGAAAAGCTACGCTTACGGCGAGAGTCGCAATTTCACAGATCGCCATCTGTTAGACAAAGCTTAAGACGACACGTCAACTCACTAAAGCATTACAGCAAGAAGAAGCATATGCCCAGCGCCGCTACATTAAGCAATTGTCAACATCTAGTACAAAACACTCACTATGGAGAACTCACCCAACACTAAGCTCACCGAAAGAAACTGTGATGCCGATTAGAAATCCCACAGGCGGCTGGGTGCAGAGCGATGCAGACAAAGGCAGCACGTTTGCCAACCACCTTAAAAATGTCTTACAACCAAATCCTGCCACTAGTGCCGACTTTACCATATGAGCCTCAGCTTCAACATGAGCCAATTGAGTTTCGCCCAAACGAAATCTAAATTTTTTTTGAAAAATGCGTATTGACTCTGATAAACACATACCTAAGAATCCTGGAAGGAATTCCGTCACATTAATTTGGGTTTCGTGAAAAGCATGGAATAATAATCGTTTGTCGATCTGGATACTAGGCTTTAGTGAAGTCCCAACTTTTCAAATCTGTGAGCTCGAAAGCCTTCTGAGTAAAATACATAATCGCATGGGAAAAGAAAAAGTAATAAATATATTGAAAAATCAAAAAATTAAAAACTTATAAACCCTTCACTTATGTACAAGCCAGAAAGAACTAATAAATATATATAATACGACAATGCGACTATTATAAATTTACCAACTCAATCTTATCACCTATAATAAAGTTGGTTAATGGTAAACGCAGTTTTTGAACATTTCGATATGGGGGTTTAGTCAAAATAACTTTATTTGGGTAAAATTATTCTAAGTCAAAAAATATTTTACTTGCGTCCTATATATACGATGCAATAATAAGCTAAAATATTTATATGCAAATAATAGCTCACAGTCTAGAATTTTTAGGGAAATAAGAAGCTGAAGAAACTTTTCCTACTTAATACAGCATAAAAGCTTTCCCAACGTCAACTTTTAAGTGTATCCTTGCGGATGCTGGTTTTTTAGTTTACTAATAATGAATACAAAAATGCTAAAAGGGCCAAGCGGAAATTGAAAATCCTGTCGGCCATAATACGCTACGCCGCAACATGGAAGCAGCACGATTTGACTCTCCCCCTCTAAGACAAAGCACAAACTATGCTATCCATTTTGGGAACTTTGCAAGCTATAGATCAACATGCAGCTTCATCAATATATAAAACGACCCGTTCCTTATTCAAAAACATTTTTTTTAAAAAGAGGTTGCAAAAGTTAGATCTTCGATATATACCCTTGCAATTATTACAAACGACTACATTTCGAAATTATGATATCCTCTGCAAGGGTATAAAAAGAGTGCCTATTTTCGGACCATTAAACACCATAACGAATGTTTGTAGCCTATTTAAATTGATATTTCAGGTTATTAGGGATCTTACCTAAATATTGCTTGTAAGACTTTTGCTAATAATTTGATCAATAAATACTATTTTATAGTATAAAAATCGGATATATATATATTTATTCAATTAAAATAACTTTCATATTCGACATCTGTGTTGATATTGCCAGAATGGATGTTATCAAAATGTAAGTCCCGCGATTTCTATAATAAGATATTGGGAAAAGTGTTTAACACACAAAGAAGATTCAAACGATCTTTTGAATGCTTAGTCGTTTCAAATTTATAAATACATAGTTTACATTTATTATAATATGTTAACTAATTATACGTATACATATGCTCATTTATTTTGTAATTTAATGCCTATCAACACAAATTATTGCTTATACCTACATATTCTAAATCGATGATTTTTTTTACTTAGTTGATGTATTAAATACAAATTTATTATTCATTCATTCTGAGCTTAAACAAATTAAACAAATGTCTATGCTTCTACAATATAATAAGAAATTACAGACAAACCCAATTTAATTTAAATCTTTATAGTTATAGTTTACACTATACCATAGTAACTATACCACAAATAATTGATTTTAGTAAAATTATCTGTACTGTATGTATATTATATAATATTTATTAACATTTGTAATTGTAATTGTATTAATTATATATCCCAAAAGAAATTATTTTTAATTATACAAAATATACTTAAATGACAAAAATAATTATATATTGTTTACGCATTATCTGTATCACTGTTTTCATCATCCGAAGACTCAATTTTTCTTCGTTTTTTTTTACTTCGCACTTGATTGGACTTGCGGCCAGTTGACTTTGAAGGTGAAATGGACGTCTTAGCTACATGAGCTATTGATACATCACGCACATTCTAAAATCGAGTAATATTGACGCAATAACATTTTGAATACGTAAAAAATTAAACTTACATCATTAGAAATTGTAGGCATATTTGCAGTTTGCGTGTTGTCAATAGTTAAAGATGAGGTAAAAGTGCATCCATCACGACCGGTGTGGCAGTTTTTTGTTGAATTAGCATATCCTATACCATCGGAATTGTTTAAAAATGCTTTTTCGCGTAATTCATCTGCATCTGAGTCTGCATCTTCTGGATCCAGTTTTAACATAAGTTGCTTAAACTAAAATAAAAATTAGAATATATTGGACAATACATTTCTTAATACGTACATCAAGGTACTTAACAACAAGGTCCAATTTTTCCTCGTTCGTAAAAAGAAAATTGATGTCTGTGCTTAACATGTTTTGGGACATCTGTTTTTTGATAAAATCAATAGTTGTTTTCGGATTAAAGTCAGTCACGCTTCTACGTGTTACAGCTTTTTCATATAATTTTTGTTCGGATGGTGAATACCTTGAAATTTTACTATCAGTTATCCCGTACATGTTCTTTAAATGATCTTTTAGTATTAAAAGTAACATACACGCTTGGGCAGATGTTATACATTTTTTTATTTCTGTCATATCTTCAGGCAATCGATTAAACAAAACTTGTGGATCTTCTACGTCATCATCATCATCTAATACATCTCCCTCTTTCTCACTAGGTTTTAAATGTTCCTTGAAAGTAGCAAGTAAGTGTGTTCCAGCCAGTGATATTAGTAGATCTATTTGATGTATCAGATATAGGGGCTCATCTTGAACTACGTAAGGGAAGTAAGCCAGATTATCGGCAATGTACAACATTTGTTGTAATGATGTTTTCTGATCATCAAACTGTTTTGTAACTGTTTGCACCAAGGCACGCCTTTGTGGCTTCGTAGTACGGAGTAGGGAATAAAGAAAGTCGTTCAAAGCGGTTATGACATGATCTGGTCCGCGATTGCTTAAATTAAAAATAGTTTTTCGTAAAAATAATTAGTAAAACAAATTTGAAAAAAACTTACGCGTAACCTCTAATTATTTCAAGATTTCCTCTGTTGTTTATTTGTAAAACTTTTTGTAACTTGAAGCAAAGTTGTAACCCAAACTGAACTTTCATATTCACAAATCCAGAATATGTTTTATCGATATCTTTTAATAAGGCATCAGCTCTATGAGCGGACTAAAAAATTTAATATTTTAAATTTCCAGACGCATAATACAAAATATTATACCAACCTCCACCTTAGGATCAGTGCTTAAGCATATTAAATAGGGAACCATTCTAACTGGATGAACCAATCCTTGACGAAGAACAATCTGTATTACTTTAACAGCCCACAGACGTACTGTGTCGTCCCGATTTAGAAAACATTCAAGTATTTCTTCCAAATAAAGTTGAATTATTCGACTTGCCATTCCAGAGGAAACGTCGTTCATTTCCTTAAGATCTTCGTGCTTTGATTGTTTTTCCCCTGAAAAAAGTAGAGCATTTCAGTAAGTTGGCAGGAGAACGGCGAGGTCCAACAAAAGTTAAATGGACATCTAACGTCACCCGTTGTGAAAAACATACATAAAGGATAGGAATATTTGACAAACATTATTGGTGGGTCGATAGATATATAATAATAGTGCAAACCCAATTTTTTTTTTACAGTTTTACCACTTAATCGTGTAATCTAGTATATCAAATTCCATTTAACTTTTGTTAGTCCCGTCTAATGTTAAATATACCAACATTCTTTTTCCTTATTATGCATAAAAAGTTCAGATTCTGTTAAATAAATCCAAATATTACGCATACATATTATTTTAAAACCGGCGTCATTAGCGATTGAGCTTAAAATATGACAGTACAAATTTTTAAGCTCGGATCTGGTAAGATAGTCATCGTTTAAAACGCAGAACGATCCAAGCGAGATGAGGGCTTGCTTTCGAATTTCTTGATTTGCACAACTACAGAAAAACATCAAGCAATCGAATACATCGTCACATATCGAAACCGGAAGTCCACCGTTTGTCTCTCCTAGAAGTATAAATATGAAATTATCGCAATTTAACGAAAATTACTTACCTAACGCAATGGGAGACTTAAAATCAAAGTAACGCATTAATATTCCGATTGTGAACAAACTTCTTCGAAAGCTGGGAGTGTAAATATTATCTACACTGTAGTTTCTTTGTATTACTTGATTTCGAGAAACATCCAGAACTCGATAAAACCTGAAAAAATTATGAACATCACTCATTTTGTAAAAATTTAATTATTACAATAAATAATAAATAAATTTAGGCTTTTTTGGGCGTTATTTTCTTGTACTTTTATTCAATCGGAAAAACTCAGCTTAATGTCAGCTTGAGCAAAGATTTATTAATGCGTGCTGGCTGCGTATATTGCGACGCAGGCTGAGCTGAGAGGAGGACAATCTGATCGTTTTTAATGCAATGGATTCATTTATTAAGTTATTTAAATAATGTAAATATTTTGCATAGTCGGACATGTTTTATATGCTTTGGCTGAAGCGAAACATGTAAAGACAAATTGGGAAAAGGAAAGAATAATAGCATTAAGGGGGTATATACATTTTTTTGTCGAAAAAAATAGGAAAGTTTGGATTTTTTTATGTATGTAACTATTGTTTTTATTAAATGAATGATTATATTTTCTGAAAGTTTAGATTGTTGACAATGTTAATGCAAAAATTTTTCAAAAAATATTTAATAGTTTTTAAGGTGTGGCTGTTTCCCTTAAACGCCTTTTTTTAAAGAGCCTTGCGGTGATAATTCCCCAGGACAAATGGGTCAACTGATACCGAAAAAATAAAAATATTTCATTAGTTTAAAGTAGTATCCTGTACTTGAACGAACGTTTTAAAAAAAAAATTTTTTTTGTGCATACGGGAACGTTTAATGCAAAAAATGACGTTTTTGGACGCAAAAATTCTTACAAAACTATCTATTTCGGCGAAATAAAAATTTTTACATGAAAAAACGATCGTTCAAGTACTAATAAAATTCATTACGAACATTAAAAAAAATTGAAGAAAATCGGTTCAGTAGTTTTTCGCCAATCCATTTCGAGATATTCGCGTTTAAAGTTTCAAGTTTGGGTTTGGGCGGGGAAATGAAATATTCTCAAGAAGTTGTTCTTTAAGATAAAGCAAAAAAAAAATCTATCTAATTCTAGTTTTTACAAGCACTTGCATTTGAGAGATCAGAAAGAACGGATCAAAGTTGAGATTTTGCGAAATGTTATATTAAAATTTCAGAGATTCAGGTGAGTGTTATTTATTGAATTGTGTTTAGCATATGACAGTGTAAAAGAAAAGAAGTGTAAAAAGAAATATTTTATCGCAGAAACAAACCTTTTGTATATTGGTAGAATGTTATGAGGATGGAGAAATGTAATTTTATCTGTTCAATCTGAATAAAACTTGCCCTTAGAAATACGGTGGGGGTAAAAAAAAAGCAAATTATAAAATTATTCTTGTTTCTGTTTTTCTATCGCACAAGCTGTACCTATACTGCTGATATATTTATAGGGTGAGGTATAAGGGTGAACATAATGTTTGTTTAAAACCTGCACGACGTCAAAAAGAAAGTGCTCAAGAGGACCGAAACCTTTAACATCGCCAAACCCCCGAGACAACTGAAAACGTGAATTGAATTAAAATTAAGATATTAATTTATAATTTATAATTAAATAAATGGAAAATTTAAAGAATTGGTGATAAAAATGTGATTGTAAAATTGTATTGATAAATTATTAATTAAGCTGTTTCGATGACAACGAAGAAGGTAAGAAGCCGCAAAGCACAAAAAATTGTTTATAATTTGAAAAGCAGGAGGATACCCGAGAGTTGTTTTGTTTTCTCAACAATTCACGTGGGTGTCATATTATATAAATCATTTTCGAAATTCGGGTGTTCATTGAAATAGTGGTGTTTGACGACCCTATTCCACAAAGTAAAATTAAATAATAATATTAATTTCCAAACAAGAAAGAACGCTATAGTCGAGTGCCTCGACTATTAGATACCCGTTACTCAGCTAAACAACTGTGTACAATGTAAATACATACATATGTATATGCTTACATACATACAAACATACGCCATTGTTTGACTCAGACCTCCAATTTGGCTAACTAGATTTGATTTGCATAGTTCTTGGGATATAGTTCGGTATTGACAAATGAAAACTATCGCAATTTCCTTTAATAGAAATCCTTATCGAGAATTAACGTTGACTCTGTTGAGCACCTCGGCCAGCTGTTCCAAAGTCATCCGTTAGATGGCGCCATGAAAGGCGGAAATGTAGGCTTAGGTAATCCGGGTCTTGGAGCACGAAAAAAAGCCTATTTTCGTGAATTGTTTTAAAAGATCTTACGACAATTTCACAAATTTCATTTATTGTACATTAATGTTTATGGTTTGACCAACATTGTGTAAAAATTTAAACCAACATTTTTTAAAATTGAGCCGTTGAGGCAGGCTTGAACTTGACCTCATAAAAAATTGTGTCCTTGCGGTAGGCAAAATATCTCCGTCAATTTTTATCTGAAATCAAAAAACTAAAATTATTCTGATAGTGTTTGTGTCTCGCTTGTCCTCTACGAGCCATTTTTTTTTAAAATTAAAAATTGCATTTTTTGTAGCTCTTTTCATAAAAAGTGTAATTTTTTACGTAAATGTTGGCCATATTTTGGCTTGTAAAATGAGTTGTAATTAAAAATTTAAAAAATCCCTCCGTTAAGGACAAGAGAATTATGTCTAAAAGAATAAGTTGATCGGTGCAATAGTTTTTGAGAAATCGTGACTACCGACTTCAAAAAAGTGGTTTTGAGAAAAACGCGTTTAAAGTGCCGCATCTGCCCGACGCCAGATCCCGAATTGCCCGTTGTAACGTTCGACGCGCTGGGCTTTAAATTTCTCCCATTCTTACAATTTTGCTTCGATCGACTTGAAATTTTCAGACAACATTCCTGCCACTTTGTACTATTATATAAAAAAGTTTGAAAAAAATGAATTTTTTGAAGTGTCAAGACCCGGATAACCCCTTAAGCGTTTAATGGGTTTTTGGGAGTTAGAGTGGGCGTGGCAAACTTTTATTAGGCCAATCGATAGGTATTGACGAAACAAATACATATCAATTAAAATTTTCATAATAGCATCAAAACTGTGGCCACAGCTTGTGGCTTGTGGGCGTCAGAGGGGGCGTGGCACCATTTTGAAAAAAACTTGCGCTGCGTAGGAACTCCTAAAATCTACATGCCAAATGCCAATCTTCTAGCTTTTATAGTTTCCGAGATCTCAGCGTTCATACGGACAGACAGGCGGACAGACAGACGGACAGACGGACATGGCTAGATCGACTCGGCTAGGGATCCTGAAAAAGAATATATATACTTTATAGGGTCGGAAACGCTTCCTTCTACCTGTTACATACTTTTGCACGAATACAATATACCCTTTTACTCTACGAGTAACGGGTATAATTAACATTATTATTTCTCTGAACACACACAAAGATCCCGCACAAATTTTATTTAATTACAAATAATAAATAAAAAAAAAGAATCATTGCTCTCAGCTCATATTGAGACGATCTCTGTTCTAATTATTTGCGCAATGCTTATAGCGACACAGTATTAACTGTTTTTTTTTTTAACATTTTGCAATAGGTCACGAAATTTATGTAAAAGTTGTGCTTTTCATTAGGGGGGATGGATGATATCGGATCCAAAAAATCGATTTTTTGGAAATAATTTCATTCGATTGTAAAACTGTCAAGAATATTGCTTTTTATAGATCATTTTTTGAAAAAAAATCCATATTTTTCAGAATTTTAAAGTACATTTTTTGAACGGAAATAAAAAAAAAATTTGACATTGAAGCAATGAAAAAATAATTTAATTTCGACCTTTTATTTGAAAAGTGTAATTGCCACATAGACTCTACTATCATATAAAAAACAAGAAAGGAAAGCTAACTTCGGGCGGATCCGAAGTTGTTATACCCTTACAGAATATTCTGTAATTTATATTGTCCGAAATTATTCATATGATGCATTCTTAATACTCATAAAAAATCCCAACTTCCTAACTTTAAAAACACCAAAGTTATGGCATTTCCTATCAATCAGTTATATGGCGGCTATAAGATATAGTCGGCCGATCCCAGCCGTTCTGACTTATATACTACGTGCAAAGGAACGAAGGGTGTGTGTACAGTTTCAATTCGATAACTTTTAAGCTGAGAGACTTGTTCGCGTAGAAACAGACAGACGGATAGAAAAACGGATGGACAGACGGACGGACATGCTTATATATATATTATATACACTACTGGCCAAAATAATAAGTACATAGGTAAATGTATCATTTCTTGAGACATAGCTCGAAAGCTATCGAATGGAGGGCTGCTAGTTGATTATATTTTGAAAGGTTATTGTGTTGTAAAACATTTAAATCAAAAATGAAAATGGGGAACCCCAGTGCTAAGCCTAAATTTGTTCTGGATGGTCGTTTTTGGTCTGGTCAAAATAATAAGTACACTTCCATTATTCACAAATTTGAAAGGATTAAGTTTAGAATTGGACTACGGTATGTTGATTTTTAATGATTTCTTGCATTTTAAGTATATTCGGGTTACAACAAATTCTTTAGATGGGCCGAAAAAAGCATTGTACCCTGGAAGAAAAGAAGATTGCCTTGAATCTTCAACAAGAAGGAAAAAGTCTACGAGAACTTGCGACCAGCCCTGGACGCTCGGTGTGTTTTATTCAGAATGCCTTAAAATCGAAAGATCCTTCCGAAAAACGAGGAAGGAAGAAGAAATCTTTTCAAACGACGGACACCCGCATCGTCAGTCTGGCAAAAAAGGATCCCTTTATGTCTTCCAAGTCCACTGCCGCTGAAATCGGCAATGCAATATCATCTCGAAAGGTTCGGTGCAGACTTAAAAGTGCCGGCCTAACAGGACATATAGCCAGAAAACTTCCTTTACTTCGGAAAAAAATTTACAGATGAGGCGCCAGTTTGCACAAAATCATTTGGCATGGTCTGGACCAGAAGGTTCTAAAAAAAGGAACAATGTGTTATGGAGCGACGAATCAAAAATAAACCTTTTTGGTAACGACTCTAGACGTTATGTACGACACCCAAAAGGTAAAGAATTCGACCCCCGGTACACAAAGAAGACCGTTAAGCACGGAGGCGGATG